ATGTGACCCTGGACCATAAAACCAGTCATAAGGGTCGATTTTCTGAAAGCTGAATAAATAAGCTTTTCATTGATGTATGGTTTGTTAGGATAGGACAATATTTGGCTGAGATACAACTATTTGAAAATCTGGAATCTGAGGGTGCAAAAAAAATCTAAATATTGAGAAAATCGCCTTTAAAGTTGTCCAAATGAAGTTCTTAGCAATGCATATTACTAATCAAAAATTAAGTTTTGATATATTTACAGTAGGAAATTTACAAAAGTTCTTCATGGAACATGATCTTTACTAATGATTAATGGCAAAAAAGAAAAATCAATAATTTTGACCCATACAATGTATTGTTGGCTATTGCTACAAATATACCCCAGCGACTTAAGACTGGTTTTGTGCTCCAGGGTCACATTTTATTAATACGAGTCGAATCTGTTTATCACCTCATCACTAACTGAGATACTATATAGAATACTATATAGCTACTATATAGAATAATAAATTCATTGCATTTTTTTAACCCCACTTTTGCCTTCTTAATGTTAAGTATTTAATTTGTTACAACAAGTTTTAAAAATAAATATACATTCATTTAAAAATAAATAAATAAATAAATAAATTTATACTCAAAAATAGTGAAAAACCGCAAAGAAATGGTTGAAAAAAAAATGTAAAAACAACAATAAAACAATAATTATAAACAAATAAAAATATTAACAAAAATATTGAAAGAAAAGGAAAAAGAAGTGTATCAACATATTATTTGTCAAGCTTGTTGACTTACAGACTGTGAAGATAAATGAATGGATATGCACAGACAAGGTTACCAAACATGTCAGCATGTATAAATGCATAAAAGTTCTGAGGCTATACCTTTAATACAGTGTGCAAACCTATTTTAATATTTATTGTCTGGCTAGGTGTACTTTCACTGTCTTCTTATTTAAAGGTGGTTTTTGCTTTGTTTTTTAAACAAAAAAATATTTTATGGTAAATCAACATTATGCCATTATGCCACAAACGCTTGTTTCCAGAGCTTAATTTGTATTGAACCCATAACATTCTTTAAATAGGACGCACAGTTGGGCAGCTTGTGTGTGTGTGTGTGTGTGTGTGTGTGTGAGATAGAGTAAATTAATCCACCTGAGGACTGAAGCTAAACACTGCAGGTCTTTTCAAATGCGCTACCTCTTTAAGGACCCAGATTTGCTTGATGCGAGTCCCATTTCTGGAATAATTACTAAACCACCCAAGTCAGCATCTTCTGACAACTGCAAAGGCTCATCTACTAAATGGCATTTATTCAGCGCAAAATCCCTTTTTATGGGTTGGTTGGGCATGTTGGGTTTGCTGTGGTAACAGTGCTTAACACCTGGAGAGGATTCAAGCTGCGGAGGTCAGATTAGAGATAACATGCAATCCTTCGTCATAAGAGTATAGTAGAATAAAGAACTCCTGGATCACTCTTTGAGACTCATACGCGGTTAAGGCAACCCACCTGACATATACACACAAAGCGCTTTTTGCTGATACAAACAATGCACATATTGACACCAAATATGACATTTCAAAAAGCAATAAGTGGCCATGCTTTGCAGTCATTTTACCATGGTTAAGAGTGTTCTTATGCGCGGCGTAAAGAAGTGTCTAAAAGACAGTGTTGTTATTGCTAACTAAAACTATTTAAAATGGTTTTCATTAACTGAAATGAAGCTGAAATAAATAAACATTAGATGAACACCTAAAATAAAAAAAAACGTAAATGCAAATTAGACATGTCGCTTTGGCAACTAAATTAAATAAAATTATTTTAAGACAAAGTACTAAAATCACTAAAACAAAATCTATATTTTTATAAAATTAAATCTAAATAGAAATATAAAAAACGAATTACAAAAGCACATACAATTACTAAAACTTATAAAAGTTAATTCAAAATAATAAACAATTTTTTTACAAAATTACTACAGCTTAAAATAAATGTAAAATGAAAACTGAAAATATATCAATAAAAGCTCATTCAAAATGTATAAATATTGCTTTTAACAAAATAACAAAGTATAAATATAAAAAATATAAAAATAAAAGCTAATTCAAAACATTAACAAATACTATAAAAGAATACAAATAATACTAAAATAACACTGCTAGTTTAACTGTTTAAGCTGTTTAACTGTGGTAAAAATCACTGTAAGTCAGAGCTCCCTGTAATGTATTAAGACATTTTATAAAATGTCAGTGATAAAAATAAATCAATAAATAATTTTTAATACAATAATTTTTTTAACCCAAAATAACGTATGATTTGTAATTTTTACATTTTTTATTTGTTTGAATATTAAAAAATTCAGATATTTTAACCTTTTTTCCATTTTTGACAGAAATTTGGCCTCAGACTATTGTGTCGTATAGTTGCATGTAGCCTCAGCGACATAAACGGCATGTATCCGTGTAATCCAGCCCACCCTACATCTGTTCACTAACCGCCTGATGCATATTGTACACAAAATTGCTAGCTGAAAATTAGTAGTTTGGCTAGTATTACGCAACCTCCTTCCTCTGAGTGCACCAGTCCACCTGCAAATACAGTCCTCTTACCAGGCTGTCACAAAGACTGCTTTTATGAAATCCAAGCTGGTGCGGTATTGTTGTAACAACAATTTCAGATAAATGTGTCGGTCAGACAGACTTTTCCAGTGTAAGTGGCCAGTTCTTGGCCAGAATAAGTTGGGTTTGATAAGAGGCTAAGCTGCATTACACTCTTAAAAATCAAGGTTCTTTATTGGCATCTGTGGTTCTATGAAGAACCTTTAACATCCATGGAATCTATCCATTCCACAAAAGGTTCTTTATAATGGAAAAAAAAATTCTTTAAATGATTAAAATCTTCTTCACCCTAGAAAAAAAATTGTTCTTTTAAGAACTGATCACTGAAAGGTTCTTTAGGGAACCAAAAATGGCATCACTATGAAAACACCCTTTTGAAACCTTTATTTTTTAGAGTGTAGACTGTGTAAACAGGCTTTAAGAAATGCATTATTGGGAGAGAAATAAACTACATACACCTCTGCCCATCACTGTACACAAACAAAAGAGGTGAAGACCATATTTTCAGCATTCATACTGAAATCCTTTTAGCATGGTGTCATTCAGAGGAGGAGAGGAGACGGCCAGTGGAGGAGGCAGAGGACAGAAAAAGGAAAGAGCTGATGAAAGGAGGTATGCTGCTGAAAGAGTAGTGTGTGTGTGTTTGTGAAGAGGTAAGAATGAGCTGGCAATGAGTGTCCACAGAGAGGGGCATGGCCGCAGGCTTAACTGGACAGCTGCCTTGAACACGGCTGCCAATGCAGCTGGCACTGTGAACTAATTCCAGGATGGAGTTATGAACACACAATTTAACAGCTAAGACATGACCAGCACAGCACTCTCGACACAAGAAAAAGGGACCTATAAAAACAGCTGCAAGCTTTATAGCTTTAGTTTAAAGCTTTCAATTAGTGAGGAGATTATAAAGGTCACATTTATGTTATTTATTAATTATTTATTATTTATTAATGAATAAACATTTTGTAAAACCATAGACTAGCATTCAAAAGTTTGGGGTTGAAAGATTTTTTTCAAGTGCTCCCCAAGGGTGCATTTATTTGACCATAAACTACTGTTTTCTATATTAATATTTTTTTTAAATGTAATTTATCCCTGTGATGCAAAGCTGAATTTTCAGCATCATTAGTCCAGTCTTCGGTGTCACATACTGCATACTGCCTACTATTTCTTAAAGATAGCACGTAAAACAGAATGATATGCATGTAATTACACAACGATAAACATTTCAAATAGTAGCAAGCTTCACTGTTGTTGCATGACACTCCATGACATGATTAATTCAGAAAAAAAAATGACATGCAAAATATTACACAAAATGTTGTGTAAAACGTCCAAATGTTTTAGACGACAAATAAAATAATGAGTCAAGATGATGTTAAATGATGTTTATATTGTTTTGTTAAACAAGAATGGAAGGTCAAGTCAAGTGCATAGTTGTGTGTGGTGTACTTTAGTTGTAAACTGCACATTTTGGCAAATGCATAAGCTCATCTAGGTGTCCCATGCATGAAAATGTGCATAATGTGCACAGCACACATTCTGCAGAAGAATGAGTATATATGAGTAGTATGGTAGCATGCCATTCTCACAGAATCAGGTCTGAAAGCAGCTTAGAGTTAGAGGACAGCTAGTAAATGCCACTAGCGGTTGCCAGGGGGCGCACTTTCACCATCATTTACTCTGACTCTTACCTGTGCAGATCTGATTGAGGTCGTATGTTTTGCAGCTGCTGGAGTCTGCTGCTGAAGGGCCGGATAAACTAGAAGCTGTGCCATAGAGAACCAGCGTGAACTGAGTCAGAGTGCCTAAGACAGACAGAAAGAGATTCAACAATCTGACTCATGTACACAAGAAACTCACAAAATGAGAACAGTTGCCAGTTGTGGATCATTATGTCTGTGTTCATTCTGTAATCTCTCTCAACCAGTAGACTGTATTACACTGTAAGCACATTTATTCAGTCAGCAGATGCTGTCAACTAACAAATTAGGAACAACACAAGCAACCGACCAAAAGCAAACAATATTAGCAGAGCTGATTTCTTAAGTAAACCAGAATAGTGCTAAGTTAGAATAGAGATATTAAAGCAATAAGCCACAAAAGGCAATGCATTAGTGATCTGACCAAAGTTAACTAAAAAAAACACATTAACATTTTTGTTATTTAACATAAAATAAACATGAACTTAAATCAAATATAAAAAACGTTTTATTTGAGCTAGTTGCCTAAGGAAACACACGCAACAAAAAATACTAAAACTTTACAATGAAAATGAATACAGAAAAAATATATATAAAAAAAAAAAATAAAACAATCTCAATGATAATAAAATAACACTGATTATAACTTATAACTGCGGGGCATCTCAAAGCTTAATGAATTCAAACGACAGCAAATCAAAATGACAAAACTATGTTAATAATTAAAAATAAATGAATAATTTTAATATTACTTAATGATAATCACAATAAACAATGCTTTAAGTGATATAGCTCATTAGACCTGACACACATACAGTTCAAACATATATATGTGTATATATTAAAACATTTTACAATTGTAATATATAATATAGGAATGACATTTCTGAAATATTTCATTCTGATTGGTCATTCTGCATTAACATACTTTAGTATAATGACCATAACTGCATAAATGACCACCGTCACAGGTAATGATTTCCTACACGGCTGTGCTAGTTTCATTTATCAATGCTTGATCAACTAAAAAGCAGTATTTATTAGCCATATTTTGTATAAAATAAGTCAAATACAAAAAAAACTCTATTGGTATTCTATAATTGTATACAACACTCCCCTTTTTTTATTTTGACAATGTCTGATTGTACATTTTCACCAGTACATCATGCTCATTTTGTGCCCACTAACACAAATCACTCAGAAGATTCAAGTTGGATCATCATCGTGCCCTGTAACGGCACACGAAATGTCCGAACACAGACTTCTTGTCATCATCGTTCAGTAACTGTAGTGTCGCACTGCTTCGACATGCATTAGATAGATGGCACACTTTGTCTCTATAGTCCAATAATGTCAGTAGCTCTGTAAATTCTTAAAGCAACAAAGAGAAATGGACTAAGTAATGCACTGGACGAATGGTCCATTCAATCCAGACATAAAGCAGCTGTGTTAGCGTCTGAGCAGAACTAATGAATGGGTTTTGGCTGGGATTTCCTTTATATTTACAGTGTTCAGGGGCGGCTGAAGAGTGTGATAGGGAGGAAAAACTCGGTCCTCTGATTTACTTAGCTAGATTTAATTAATCAGATTTACTGCAGGGTGTGGTGAAGGAAGACAAATCGACTGTGACATAAAAGAGGAAGAAAACAGGATTGGGCAAATAAGGCAGATTTAGAGAGAAGACACTCTACATTTCTGTAAAGTGCAGGGCAAAGCACTGCTAGACATAAAATAGACTTCTTTTTTTTGGATCACAATCAATATTGGGCATATTTTCAAGGCACAGTTTCTTTTTTTTCTTTTTATGATCTTTTATTTTATTACCTTTTTATTTTCTTTTATGAACTTTTCGATTTTATTTGATTTTATTATCATTTTTAATTATAATTATATTTTCCTAATGCTTTTTTATCTTTTTTTTTTTATTATTTGATTTATTTTTATGATCTTTTTTATAGTAGGTTTGCCATTTTTTATTAGCAGAGAAGTAGATAAAAGAAATGAGTCAGGACGACATTGCGGAAAGAGACCAGGAATGTGACCAGGGTACTGTACACTGGAGGTCCAAATATGTTGAACATGAATCTCCCGCATGAGCACCATACGTCAGAAGCACAAAAAAAAAGCAAAATGGATGGGCGAGCTGTTACCATAGTCACTGATCCCAGCCACGTTCTCGATCTCCAACGTCCATTCTCCACGAGGGTCCTCGTCCCAGGAGTGGGTGGTCATGAAAGCCCAGTCATTGAAGCCATCAGAGGAGTAATCATGAGGTCTGAGAAAGAAAGAGACAGAGAATGTTACACTTAAGTGATTCAGCTATGCTCTATTTGAGTATTATGAGTGTGGATGCATCCCTTTCAGTGCCGAACCTGGGTGCAAGCAGTGTGGAGCGGGTGCCCTGTGGGCTGATCAGGTAGATGGCCAGATTTCCTCTGCGGTTGTAGGACAGGGTGAGCTGGGCTTGAGCATGTTCTAATGAGCTCACAAAGGTGTCCGTCCCAGCACATGCATCCACACTCTTGTTGATCACCAAATGACTCCCAATGTTCCTAAAAAGAGGAAAATAGTGTTCAAAAACTGACAGTTAAACCACAATGAAGTTATACTGCTTAATATCTAATTATGAACGCATTATACACTATCTTTTAAAAGTTTGGGGTCTGTAAGATTTAATGTTTTTGAAGGAAGTCTCTTATGTTTACAAAGGCTGCATTTATTTGATAAATAAATACAGTAAAAACAGTAATATTGTGAAATAATATAAAAATTTAAAATAAATGCTTTCTGTCTTAATATATTTTAAATATAAATATTATGCAAAAAATATATATATTTTTGTGGAAACTGTGATACATTTTTTCTGGATTCTTTGTTGAATCGAAAGTTTAAAAGAACAGGATTTATCTGAAATAGAATTTTTTTTATAACAATGTAAAAGTCTTTACTGTCACTTTTGATTCATTTTATATATCCTTGTTGAAAATCCTACTGACCCCAAACTTTTGCAAGTTTTGTGTAAGATCATCAAAATATTCTCTCTACCAAGAATCACAATCTAGCTCAAAAAACACTAGATATGGTTCAGATCATCCTATAATGTGCCATATATCATCCACCAGGTGAAAATGATTAGTTCAACTGCTTATAAAAGCAACAGCACACGCCTTCGAATGTTCGAATGCAAAGTCGAATGTTTTTAAATGGCAAATTACCCAAATGTTTACTTAAGTCTCAAAAGAAAGCATAAGCATAAATCTTTAATGAATTTCCAAACATTGTTTGAACAAAGAGGTAATTATTTCCCAAGAAGTTATGTTAAACAAAGCAATGTTGTGAAAGCTTTACTGTGTTTACTTGTACATAGTTGATGCATCAAATTGACATTACTAATAGCTACTGGGAAAAATTAACAGCTTACTGAATCAGGATCGCTATATCAAACCGCTGCTACAATACTTAAGAGTGCAAAACACATTCCTGGTCCAACAGAAAGGTTCAGTCAGGTTAAGACCTGTGCCACCGATGTCCGCTATGGGAGCCGGTAGGCTTTTGCCACTCTAAACCCAATCCTATAAGGAGCTTAGAGCAGCCCGGCCCTGCTCACTAGAGACAGGGTTACACTGGAAGAGGAGCTTAAATCAAGAGAGAGAACGACAGGCTACAGCCTCTGACAAGTCCATGAGGAATGAAGCGTAACCCCTCTGTGCACAGAACGCTGCAGCATGTGCAAGACTTCAAGTCGGAGCTGTTGCGAGCGAAAAATGAAGAAAAATACAGCAGAGATGGATTGAAGCAGCCCGTAATCACTTCACTCTGTGACTTCTGCAACCAGCATGTTAAATTGGGCTTTGCTCCAAAACCCCTTGATCTTTCCATAACGTTGGTGAACCATAAAGGATGACTGGAGGAAGGGATAAAAAGAGGGTGAGTTTTTAGAGAGCCAGACATGATATGCTGGGACAGAGGACGAGATTGGCGGAGAGGTACTTTGAGGGTCAGTCTTGAGTTCCAAGATGTCAGCAGTGATGGAAGTGTGACAAACGTGGATGTAACAAGCTTATCTGCAAGTCATTACTTCCTTTAAACATGCTCTGTAGGCAGCAGAGATGCCTCATGCACTGAAGCATCATTCAAGTTGTGCAGATCTAAATTTAAATATGATAGGCCGTCAAAAGTGATGTTTCGCTCCCAGCTCGTTTCACATTCCCATTTCCTCTTGCACTCCATGATCTTTTTCGCAGCACTAAATTTAAAGGCAAGGTAAGTGATTTGGTTTAAAAACATTTTTTGTTATGCTAGTTGAAAGTCTCTTCACATCCCGATAGCAATCACTAAGTTAAGTGGTCTAAATGTATTTATATAGTCTGTGGAAGGCATAGAATAAAATGTTCATCCCATCAAAATGTTCGGTCTGAACATTACGATAGGCTGTCCTGCCTGCCTGTCAAAATATGTATTTGCATACCTCTGCGCACTCTGTTTGTGTAAACATGATACGTCATCAGCGCGTTGGAATGGAAGGCGTTATTACTGTAATATTACACACTTTGTACTGTAATGTTTTCTCACTGGTGAGTGAGACATGAGGTAATCTGACAGTGTTGCTTTCAACCCTCCACCAACGCTGTCTCTCATCGTGTCGCTGGTTAGCCTCTGCTCTGCCTGTGCATGCTCATGTGTTTTGGAGGAGGCGTGGCTTTGCAGAGTGATTATGCAGGGAGGGTGGGATCTTGTGCTTTCAAAGCTAGCTTGCTATTGCTAGTCTTTGCGAAATCTCCAACCCTAACTTTAACGCATACCATTTGTGTGCATCGAAGAACCTCAGTTTGCCATATGTTAGTGAAGAATCAATTAAGACTGCAGTTTCTTCTAACAAATGGTCTAGTGAAAATCCAGTCATCATTTACTCAGTCTCATGTTCCAAACCTGTACGACATTTTGCAGAACGCTCATGCTGCTTAAAACAGTTATATTTTTACCTCCAAATTTTTTAAATAATAATTTTTTATACTTAAAAAAATATATTTTATAATCAAAAATAACATCTAATAAATT